GTATGTTCGCAAGACGGTTCACTCATACGGCTGTGGGCGGGGCCTCAGTTCCTCACCACTTGGGCATCTCCACAGGCTGCCTCAGTGCTCACACATGGCACTTGGCTTCTCCCAGAGCAACTGAACAGGGAGAGAGAGAGAGAGAGAGAGAGAGAGAGAGAGAGAGACGAGAGACTTTGGCTTTTTATGACTTAGTGTCCAAAGTCCTGCACTGTTACTTCTGCTTTATTCTATTCACTTGAAGTAAGCAGCTAAATTCAGCACAATTTGGATTGTGCTGGAAGAGAATTACTTTCACCTCATGAAGGGAGGACTATCAAATAATTTATAGACATATTTTTTAAGTGGACCAAACTTTCAGTTAATGTCTGACAAGAACGAGAAAGTGCTGAGGAATGGGCTTCAGTGGCTTGGAACAAATAGTGGAGTATTGTTTTAAGAAGTGATGCATAGAGCAACACCACCCAAGGATGATATTTTGTAGCAAAATACAAGTATCAACTATTCATAATTTAAACATGATTTAGAAGAGTCATATTCTAAAAATGAATTTTTAGGACTGTATTACACAATGTACTTTCTGATAGTTCCTTTTTGTCTTTGCCTAAGAATACCAAGTCTTAAAAGTTTTGTGCAAATAAATGGCTATTTCAATAAATATAAAATAAAAAATCTATGTGGTAAGCAAATATGGTGTTATAGTTTAGTTAGGAGTGTTCTTTTCCTCTTAATGGTGAAATTGATGGCCCTTTAGATTCAATGCAATTTGGTAAGAATCTGTGGTAGATCCCATCACTTGGCTCCAATTCTTTAACAGTCCTTATATCCACTTTTGCTTATAACTTTAAAGTGCCCACCCACACGTGGGTGACCTTCCTGGCTACTTGGCTCTGGGTTTATAATGTGACTTGATTTGGTCAATAGAATATTAGCAGAGGTGAGGCAAGCAGAGGCTTGACATAGCACATGCGTGTTCCACCTGTTTCTGTGCACCACTGTCATTGTCGTGCAAACATGCCAGAACTCACCTGCTGAAAGGTGAGAGAAAAATGGAGCAGAGCTACGTCACTATAAGGGCCCCAACTAAAGGCAAGCTCTCCCAACTCAGAGCCAGCCACACAAGGAAGCCCAGTTCATAGTAACAAAGCTACAAGGTTACATCCATGATCCATCGTCGACCCAGCTGCGTGAGCAATGAGTGTTCATTGTTATAGGCCACTGACGTTTTACGGTTGTGCTTCTGCAACACTATTGTGGCAATAAATAACTAATGTAGCTCACTTAAAATGGTGTATGACCTCAGTGCTTTAATAAGCCCTGCCTTTCCCATGGACTAATGTGGAATGATTGTCTATGTGGATTAACTTTTCCAAGTTCTGAAGTTCTAAAGTCCCTTGGGAACTTATACTATATCTGGATATGCACATTATTCTCTCTCAGAAAGGATGAAAAAAGGGTCGAAGGGACTGCTTCATAATGGTTTCTCCACAACCCTCATTCTTGAAAATGGCACACACTTAAAATGTAGTAAAAGAAATGTTTCGATGCCAACAGGCCCTTTTTCCTATTTTTCTTTTTAACATTCTGATATTACATTCAGTCCAGCTAAATCAGCTCTGCCTGCTGAGGGGAACTGGCTGAGCTGACTGTGGCTGCTAAGCTCTGTGCCAGGTAAGAACAGAGAGCTGTGCAACCACCTGAACTAAGCGTTTTGGAAGTCAGTCCTGTTTTGCGATATCCTTTGGAAAGTTACGGTGGGAGGAGATATTCTGTTGGGAATTGTCTAAATGTTAGGCCTTTTAACTCTATCATCTTTTTAAAAAATTCTCATAGAATTTTAAGAAGAATAAGTGGAGTGAGGAATGTTTTTGTCTGTCGAACACCCTCCTTCTGTTACTAATACCTGTTATTTCTTTTAGGGGAAGCATCCTTTCTCCACTCCATGCGGTCCTGGTGGGAATTTGTCACCTTCCAATTATCCAGAAGTTTAGCCAAGAGGCCCAAGGTAGCTAAATCAGCTACACCAAACTCCTGGGGATAATCTGAGTCTTTAGTGAAATTTTGTATACGTACCAGGTCAGAAAGACAATCTCCATTATTTTTGACCACTGACCAGTAGGATGCAGGTTTTGAACTGCCAATACCCAGGATTCCTGCCACAAGGCCACAGCATGCCTGAGAATGAATCGTGCACAGGGAGAGCAGAACCAACAGACAACGAGGCCGTTTCCTGAGAATATTACTTAAGATCTTACACCTACCCTCTCTTGCAGATCCCATTATTGGAGCCAATAAATTCCTTTTTAAAAGCTTATTTGATTAGTCTGTTTCTTACAAAAGAATTCCACACCATTGAGAAATGCTATTCTCATTTTATGGAAGAGAAAACTTAATCCTCCAAATGTCACATTACTTGTCCAACGTCTCACAGGTGACAACAGTTAGAATATGATCACGGGTCAGTCCAATGTCCGGAACCTTTGCATAACTGTGTTATTAAAAAGTTTAAAACTGCACATGGAGTGAAACTCACCCTTTTGCTGTACCATTTTATGAGTTTTGACAAATGTGTAGATTTGAGTCTCTGCCCCCAATTCTATTCCTCCCAAGAGGTGGTTCATGCTGCTCTTTTGTGGTCAGACTCTCTCCCTATTCATACTGTCTGGCAACTATTGACTTGTTCTCTGTCCCTGGAGTTTGCCTTTTCCAGAATGTCATATAAATAGAATCACACAGCCTGTTGACTCTGGCTTCTTTTCATTTAGCAGAATGCATTTGAAATGCATCCATATTGTTTCATGTTATCAACTTAAATGTTTTCTGAAAGCATGCTTAGAGCAGCTTTGCAATCATATTCTCATTAGTGTGAGTGAAGCATTTACAGGTTTTAAAAAGAGCAAAGGAGAAGTATACAGGGTCGAAGAGTATTCTGCCAAGATTTATATTCTCCTGGAATCTGTAAATATGACCTTATTTGAAAATAAGATCTTTGTAGATGTAACCAAGTTAAGATGAGGTCATATTGGATTAGAATGAGTCTTAATCCAATGATTGTCCTTGTTATAAAAAGAGAAAAATTCGAACAGGCAGGCACACAGGGAGAATGCCACGTGCCAATGAGAGCAGAGATTGGAGAGGGGCAGCTGCAAGCCCAGAAGCACCGAGGTTTGACTGCAACCACACAAGGTAGGAGAGACGCATGGAGCAGGTTCTCCCTTGGAGTCTCCACAAGGAACTTACCCTGCCGACACCTCGATTTCAGACTTCAGGCTCTCAGTCTGTGAGAGCTAGCTTTCTGTCCTTTGAAGCCACTCAGTTGGTGTCATTGCCTGTGGCAGGCCTAGGAGACCGGGCCAGGAAGGTCCGAAGGTGTTCAGCATTGCTTCAAGGCAGCTTCCCACAGAGCAAGGAGCCTGGCTGCAGAGACAGACAGACGAAGACCAAGGGCCTTCACTTCACGGCTTCGCCTTGGGACGAGCTTGACTGAATTCCAGAGCCACAGAGTAACAGCATCATAGGAGCTGACAGATTATCGATCCCAAATAGCAAACGTATTACTAGTAACTAAAATGTGAAACTTGGTTTTAAAATTTGATAAACAATGTAGAAACCAAATCCTTGCTTCCTGTCAACTAATTTAAAGTCTGCTCCAAAACCACAATGTTTTCATTCTCGGGGGGAAAAAATTTTGTAGTTGGGGAGGGGGCACCTTTCATCCATCTTTCTATTAGCAACCTCCAGAAGATTATAGACTCAGGAAATTAAGTATTAAAATTTAATTAACTTTCCAAGTCACATGAAGGAAAATGTTAAACAAGTAAAGTAAATCCACATTCCTTTAGAGAAGAAATCTTCTGAAGTACATTTCAGTCTGCTGCTTGGATTTTAGATACAAACAAATTAGGGGATATTTTTAATGGACAAAAAGTATATAGCAGTTTGATAGTTAAGATGTAGAACCAAAAAATAAGAACAAATGAGAAAATTAGTCATGAGAAAATTAACAATTTTGACAAGCCAGGAGAATGGATTTGTTTTTCTTAAAAGACAATTAAGTTATGTTTACATGATGTTGATATTGTTGATTCACTTAACGCTATAAGTTAATTTGTTGTGATCATGAAAATCTGTTATTCTCAGACCTGGTTCCCTATCAGACACTCCTGAATAACTTAAAAATATACAGATTTCTGTATTTCACTTCCCAGATTCTGATTTAGTAAGCCTGGACTGGGGCACACAGAATCCACTTTATTTTTGCAAATTATCCAGGTTCTTGTGAGGGGCAAACAAGTTTGAGAACGACAAATGTGGATAAAGCTCTCACAGAAAGAAAGCTTTGATCTCCCAAAGCCTGGAGAATTAGAGCTTGGGTCAATCCAAGGTCAAATACCGAAAGCAAAATATTAGAATAGAAGTAATCTAACACTTAGGGTCAAGAAATGGAGGCAGGGTCCAAAAGGGAAAACCAGAATCCAGGGTGGAAGCAAGCTTCACGAGACAGGAAGGGGTTCAGAATGCCAGTGTGGAATCACAATGAGAACACAGGAGGAGACTGTAAGGCAAAACACAGGAAACCCTGTGATTCAGAATTTGGGGTTCAGCCCGGTTCAGAGCTCAGAGAAGACTTGCTTCAGACTTCTGATTATAGTCATGCTTTTATGCAAATTTCTCTATTGGAGCATCAGCTCATTCAGGGTTCAACTCGTCTCTTATTTTTCAGCATCTAATGGCTTGTTTCAATGTCTGACATTAGATTGAGTGATAGTCACTGACATCTCCGTGAATTGAAGTTGTATTGAGATCTAATAATGCCTTTGTATACGAGTACATTCAAGCTCATGTATGTGTCTTTGTGTCCGTGTGTATACTTTTTGTAGAACCCTCCAAACATTGAACTATTTTGCTAAACAAGTTATATTTAATCCATGTTATTTGACTTATAATGAAAACTTTCTAAAAAACAATTTTCAACTTTAGGTAAATTGAAAGGACAGTTGTTATTTCTTGGATAACAGTAAGACATTTATTTCTTTATAATTTGTCTTCATTCATAAAAAGGACAAAGCACAGTCCTATACTACTCCATTGAAAAAAATGATAAAAAATAACTAAAAAAATCAATTCAATATTTATCAGTATCAAAGAAATCTACTATCACCTTTCCTGAAATACAAAGAAACAACAGATGTGTCTATATCTATATAAAGTTTAATTAGAATCTTGCGTTTTAAAGCAGATGATATATTAGTTAGTTTGACAACAGTTTAAAACTGATGGTCCCAGTCAAATTTGTACAACTGTATGAGGAAATGAACAGCATGAGTTATCAGTGTGTGAGAGATTTTAATCTACCTAATCTGTCACAAACTTCAAATTAAACAAATAACTTCCAAAGTCTGTTTCCTTCTTACCTTTCAGAATCATTTCATGCAAAATCGTATCAGTTTTGCTCTGTATTACCATACATTAGAAAATAAAAGGCAAGCATGCATTTGGCAAAAGATTTAGTTGTCGGTTATATAAAAATGCCCAACATGGGTCAAACTGCAAAAGGAAAACCCCAAAGTATAACAATGAAAACACAAACATTTGTACAGAAGGCTTAGAGAATATTCATTTCCCTAAAGTATGAAGAGATTTTGTTTCTTTTTCAAATAATTAAATACTTTATGAAATCTGGTAATGTTCTTAAGACTGTTGACATACTTCCAACTGGGAAATCATCATTTCACTTATTTTTTAAAAGTTTCATTTTATAACAAAGAGTAAAATGTTAACTAATGAAATATTGACAGTTTCATAATGAAAGCTCTAAACATTTACACATAGATATATAGTACAAAAATTATACAAATTAAAGAAAGGGGGATAAAGTAGTAATAGATCTGTTTTGTTTCCTGTAAATATTTTTTTATGAACCTATAAGGTATCCTTTCTAAAAAGATAAACTCTATCTCTAATTAGCTCACAAGGTTGTGCTAATAAAATAGGATTATACCTCTCAAAGCATCTGACATTGCACTATTTCATGAGCCAGCTAGTCCTTATTATCAGTTTCTTTCCCATCCACACGCAAACACATTTCCGTGCGCACCATGAAGAATGAAGAAACGTGAATATTCCTTTCACCACCTATAAAGACCCAAAGCACCAGCACTTGGGCGGCTTCATTGGACGAACATATTATTTGTCTCCTGGACTTTCAGTTTTGCACACCCTTCAAAGTACCATTAGCAACATATGGATTTGGTATTTTTTAGCCAGTTTTCGGTATAGCATTGAAGCAGGAAACGAGTATAAAACTAAATTTTAAAAAAAGGAATACTGCGGTTTTTCCAGCCTACAGGTGATTTCTTGAGCCCACACCTTTGATAAAGATAGGTTTTTACTTAGAAATGAAGCACAAAAAAACAAGATACTGGATTATTATGATGTAATTCTGATTCTTAATTAGCTGTCGTTTAGTCCTAGTGGTATAAAGACTGCCGCATCTTGATTAAAAATGGAAGCATTCTACTTTTCAAAATTCATCATTCCATGTATGAATAAATACAGCAATATGATACTACTCTAGATAAGGGCTGTGATTTTTGAGGTTTCAAATTGATGATAAGAAAAGCATAAAATAATTTCAGAGTCGAATACAAAAGTAAAAAATAATTCTTCATATGGCATGTTAACTTTACTATTAAAAAACTAACTTAAAAGTATTACTGATTCTGAAAATCAAATATTTAGAAAAGTACTTACTTTCAAAATAAGAATACTGATAATAAGTTCTAGAATTTGGTTTTTAATATTCAAAACCTTTCAACTCATTCAGCAAAATGATTTGGTAACAGGATTTATGTCCAAATGTTTCAGTTCTATTCTATTCTTTTTCAGAAAACAAAAAAAATGTCATGAATGACAGGGGGCCATTCAAAAATATGCAGGACCCAAAACAGAGAGGATAGTACAAGAGACTGTATTACTTTTACATTTACCACATACAATCAACATTTCAACCTCTATTATATTTCACAACTTGTTATTAAATTTAAAGCACCTGTGTATGGTGATTTTACTTTCACTCTACAGCCTATGGAATTGAATTGAACACTGTAACTTGTCCCATTGGATTAAATCATGCAACTGTCACAGAATCAGGTTAAGTGGTTTATAAGGCATATTGGAACGAGTTAAAAATCATTTTATATCCATTTAAAAGTTTATTCTTTTGGATGAAGGGGTTCCTGAATGCCTCAGTCACAATGTGTGTTGTCAATCAATTGGAGTGTTTGTTGAAGAATAGTTTATTTGGCTTAGGATGGAGCCGCAGGAGTTGGAAGGAACTGTAGTCATCGCAGGGATGAAGGGTGTCCTCTGAGCTGGGTGGGGAGCAGCGGCGGTCACACCACATTCAGAATTCCAAGTGGACAAGGATGCCAAAGGCAGGCAGCAGTAAGCCGAGAAGACTTGGTAATAGGGTGGATGTACCTATAAGGTAAATCAAAAGCATGTATAATATTTCACTGATAACAGTCACTATTGCTCATTGACCCTGCTTTGAGGAAGGCCAGAATACGTAGGCCTGAGAACCACTTGGTTTCTTTAACACACACACACACACACACACAGCTTCTGTATTCTTAGGCCATTTAAGAAAAACAGAACTATTTGATGAAGGTTTTTGTGAAAGAGCATGTGATCTGTTTATAAAACATGTTCATATAAATCATTGACGGTAAGTTCAGAAATGTTTGTTTTCTCTCTGATCTAATAGAATCAAACTTCTACCAGAAGGTGATAGATCAAGAAACATATAAATAAGTTTAAAATTTTTTATGTGACATGTTCAAAAATATAAGATAAAGAAATGACAGTAAAAATACTAATGATATTATCTGGGATAATGACATCATAGTTATAACTAAATAGATCTCACATCACTTCATATCCCAGTGGTTTTAAAACATTTAGATGCTATACACAATGATTTCAGAAAAATATTTTGGATAATTCTAAGTCATTTATTCAAATTTAAAGAATAATTTCCCTGAAATATTATGCTGTGAATTAAAAATAAAAATGATGTGTCCTGGCCGGTTTGGCTCAGCGCTTAGAGCATCGGCCTGTGGTCCGGAGAGATCCGGGTTCGGTTCCCGCTAAGGGCACGTACCTCGGTTACAGTTTGTCTCCGGCCCTGGTTGGTGGTGTGGGTGGCAGCCACTCGATGTGTCCCTTTCACATCGATGTTTCTCTCTCTCTCTTTCTCTCTCTCCCTCCTGCTCTTTCTGAATGAAGAATGGAAAAACGTCCTCGGGTGAGGATTAAAAAATAAAAAATAAAAAAAAAAAAATAAAAAATAAAAAAATAAAAATGATGTGCCTGGCAGGTGTGGTTCAGTGGATTGAGCATCGACCCATGGACTGAGCGGTCCCAGTTCTATTCCCGGTCAGGGTACATGTCTGGATTGTGGGCTTGATCCCCAGAGCAGGATGTGCAAGAGGCAGCCGATTGATGTTTCTCTCTCACATTGATGTTTCCATCTCTCTCTCCCTTTCCCTCTCTGAAAAATCAGTAAAACATATGTAAAAAAAATAAAAAGAAAAGAAATGCAGAGATTCTTGAGAAAGGGATGGAAAGTGGGACCGAGAAGACAGGCTGGTCCTGTCCACTCTCCACACCTGTTATGCACTGTCTTCGGTGAGCACACTGCTGGGATGAGCCGCAGCCAAAACTAGTCAACATCATGTAACTACAACAAATTTATGTCAAGTTTTGAAAGTTTATTTAAACATTTAATCCATGCCCAGCCTGTGTGGCTCAGTGGATTGAGCGCTGTCCCATGTACGGAGAGGTCCTGCCTTGATTCCTGGTCAGCGCCCGTGCCCAGGTTACAGGCTCCATCCTCACTAGGGGCCATGCTGGAGGCAGCCAATCGATGTTTCTCTCTCACATCAATGTTTCTCTCTCTCTCTCTCTCTTCCCCTTCCTCTCTCTAAAAAAATAATAAATAAAAGATTAACTCATTATTATTTACCATGTTAGCGGTATCCCAAAAGACCACTTTCTTTGAAATATTCCTCTTATATTCAGGAAAATACGGGGAATTTCTTTTGAATCTCATTCATATTTCCTATATGACAGAAACTGATGGTGTCTGTCTGCATGCATGCATGCATTCCACTATTGCCCTGTTAGCATTCGGTGCTACATGGAAAACGTCATCAGTCACAGATGAAGTGGTTCTTAGGAATAAGCAAGACAGGAAAGGTCAAAAAGTGAGGGCAGAACTGGAAGGGCAATGTAAACATTCCCAAATAGCTACTTACAGCCTCATTGATGCAGATGCTGAAATAACATTATCAATAATGATAATGCCAGTGATGACTATGAGAGCTTCTATTTACTGTTCTCCAGCCATGAGACAGACACTATGCTGGCCCTTTACATACATTTTGACATGAATACAACAGCCTAAAATGATGAGTCTTATTATCCAGATTTTATAGGTTATGTAACCATAATTTAGGTAAAATAACTTGTTCAAAGCCAAGGCCAATAGAGAGGGCAGAGCCAGGATTAGACCTCAGATGGGCCTGGTTCCAAAGGCCATACTCTGTATCTTTGTGCCACTTTCTGTAGATAGCTGTGGAAAGGGACCAGTTCTGGAAATGCATAAAGACACTCCCTCCTATACTGACTGTGTCACGGCAAAGGCACAGAAAGAAAATGAATGACACTGGGGAAGGAACAACACCTAAGCCATTTTAAAGAGTCTTGTTTTGTTGTAGTATTTTGTCTTCCTATTTTCCTGCATAGATGTATGAAAAATATGCCACAGCCCACACATTCTTTTATTCTGATAAGATGAATAATAAACCTCAATCGCACTCAAGAATAAAAAAGACACATTAGTTTTCCATGTTTGACCTAATTTAAATGATCTGACCTGAAGACCTCTGTCTGGAATGACTGCAGCGTCTCGGCAGGGCTCCGTCCTTTGACCACAAACTACATCAGCAATGCGTCCATGTTCTCCTACTGGCCTGAGTATGTGGGTTGGCTCAGCACAAACCGTGGCCACACAAAGGAGTTTAGTCAATTGTGGATGCCATTTTGAAGTTTTGGTGTTAGTATGAAAACCAAACACAATTTCATAATTTGTGGCTCCAACATCAGGATATTTGATTTATTTTAAATAAACTCTTCATGTTTATGCATGTTATATTTAATTCCTCTAATGGCTCAAGCTTATGTAATTGTGGTCTTCATCTCCAATTCTCTTCCACGTTCCAAATACAAATTAGAGACCAGACTGAATTACTAGTTAAAGTCATTTTATATGTGGGATCTCTATATTCTTGAGGGATTTTCAATGTATATTGGTTTTATATCTAACAAAATGAATATCACAACATTGCTTCCAAACATGATTTCACTACTTACTTGGTAGGTAGTAAATATATATTGTACTTTTCACATATCTATTGAATGTCAAACATGAAAAAAATCATCAATGTGGAGAATCATTTTTCCCTGTCAGAACAACTATAAAGCCATTTTACAGTGTTATATCTCTTCCACTGGATTTTTTTTTTTTTTTTTTTTTTTTTTATGTTTTCAAAAACTAAACTGCCCAGACTTATTTCCTTTAGGAAGGAATCCTAATACAGGGAGGTACATATTCAAAATAAAAATTTCAAAGAAAGTTAAGCAATGTTTCATAATCTCCGCATGTTTTATGACAAGTAGAAAACTGCTCTAGTTAGTTTTTAATACAAATCTCTTTTCTGATTCTTAAATTGGACACCATGGTCCAATCCAAATTCCAACTTCTTTGTTATTGATGATGATGCCACAATACTTGGAATTTTATCCTTGTCACTTTTTGTGTTCACAACTGTTAAAATCTCTAGATTATAAACAACTTCAGGACAGGGAATATAGCCAAATCATGTGTAACTGGGTTGACTAAGTTCAGTATGAAGTGAGTGTTTGATAAACAAAGTTATAATGTGAATAATTCTTCCAGCTCTATTCCCTGAAAATTTTCTGATTATAGAGCACAAGGTGGGAGAGGAAGCCAAAGGGTGGGGCAAGAGGGTTAAGGAAGAAGACAAAAGTAACTACTGTTACCTTGATATTTATTTCCGCTTTATACTCTCTCTATTGCATGATTTAATTTTAGGGACACGGGGTATGAAAGAAGTTTCCCATTCCCATTAATGCTTTTTCTTGGAAAATCATGGGGTGCTCCCCCCTAGCAGAGAGAAAATATTAAAAATCCATAACATGAGAAAGGCATTTATTTTACTGCTTACCCTCCACCTGTTTTGGTAAGATGTTACTACAGATTCTTCCAAAGTCTATAATTGGCCCTGGGTGTAGGGAAGAAAGTATTTTGAGGAGATGATCAATTACCTGCTACTTAGAGGTATGTTTTTTATGTATTAGGTATAGGCACATATCAGTGGATGTTTGCTGTTAAAAACTCTTGAGTTCAGCCTGGCCAGTGTGGCTCAGTGATTGGGAATGACTCATGCACCAAGAGGTTGCCAGCTTGATTCTCAGTTAGGGCATGTGCCTAGGTGGTGGGCCCGATTCCCAGTGAGGGCGTGTGGGAGGTGGCCAATTGATGTTCTCTCTCATTGATGTTTCTATCTCTCCCTCTTCCTTTCTCTCTCTCTAAAATCAATAAAGAAAAAAATATAAAAACAACAACAACAACAAAAACTCTTGAGTTTAATAAAACTCCTGCTGAGAAAGCAGTGAGTTTAGGGAAGTGAAAGAGTAAGTTTGTCTGAGACTGAAAGTAAAAATCAGTTCAGATGGAGAAAGAACAAAGCTGCCGGCTTTTATTCAGGTTAGTGCGACGGAGGGGACACAGCCAACTTACCTAGAGACACTTCCAGGGTTGCATGGCAGGTGCAAATTGCCTTAATGACTTCTTCATTGAGTGGCTGGTTTTGTGTGATCAGTGATGCCCTGGATCTGCTTTACTCTTCCCATCTATTGCTGGGAATATCCAATTGCTAAACTGCCCTTCCCTCCTGATGGTCCCCACTCTGGTTAATCCCCATTTCTCCTATCGCCACCTCAGAAATAGAACTGCTGCTGCTTTTCTTAGACCCTCCTCTGAATTCTTCAGCAGGAACTCAAGTCTTACGTAAGAGGCTTTTCCTTCCCACTTGAATGGTGTTTCAAGTGTATTTCTTTGCTGCATCCAGCCAATTGCAGGTATTCTGACTACCTTTCAGACTACAGGTGTGCACTTGGTCTTTGGCTGTTTAGGTTTCAATAGAACAAATGAGAAAATGAGGATCAGTTACCTGGCCACTCTCATCATAGGAGTGTAAGAGTGAACAGGGCTCTGGGGCCAGGCAACGAAAGTAAAGTCCAAATTCTGTCTCTTGCCTTCTATTGCCTAGGTAATCTTGAGCATATTTTATGCCTTAGTTCCTTCAACTATAAAACAGAGATAGTAATATATC